TCCTGGCCAGTCAGGGAGCACAGCAGACCTCTCCTGTCTTGTCCACTGCTCCCCTCAGCAGTGCATTTCAGTCATTCAGACTGGTCTGTTCCCCAATCTGTCTCTGGTGAATCCACTCCATACCCTCCATACCTCTGGCCTGTACCCCAGGTCTTGTATGCATAAACCAACCTTAAAAAACAACAACAAAAAACCCACATAGACCTTGTCCCTTCACAGTAACATTAAAAAAAAAAAAAAAATAGGGACCTCCCTGGCAGTTCAAGCCTAAGCACTATCAAGCTATCCCCAGTCACTGCAACATGATTTCAATCCTTGGCCAGGTAGCTAACCCACATGGCACTGCAGACCTCTCCTGTCTCATCCCTTGCTCCCCTCAGCAGTGGATTTCAGCATACCACCTGTTCTATTCCCCACTCTCTCACTGGTGAATCCTCTTAATCTCCCTCCCCAGCTCTTGTATGCATAAATACACCTCTGACCTACACCCCAGCTCTTGTATGCATAAATAAAAAAAAATCTTTAAGAAAGGTATGAATTGAACTTCAAAAACCATTATAAAAAGCTTAATAGGTACAGTCAAACATGCAACTATTATTTGGAGAGTTTAATACTCATCTCTGTTGCTTATTCAAAACAAGAACAAAACAAAAGCTGACAAAACATTTGTAGCAAAAATTTAAGTTAGTCCCCTATGGGTCTCCCTGGTGGTGCAAGGGGTTAAGACATAGCATGGAAGAAGCCATCCACAGCCAATGAAGCACAAGTTCAATCCTTGGCTAGGTGACCTATATGGCGCAGCAGACCTCTCCAGACTCGCCCACTTCTCCCCTCGGCAATGTATTTCAGTCAATCTGCCTGATCTGCTCCTCACTCTGTCCCTGGTGAATCCTCTCACCTATGCATCTCTGGCCTGCTCCTCGCTCTTGTATGCATAAATACATAAATCTTAAAAAAAAAATAAAAGTCCCCTACCAAAATTAAGTGATGAGGCTTTGCTAGAATTTAATAATGAATTGATATAATTTAAGAAACACTAACTTAAAAAACCTGAATAGATGAAAACTCAGCAACCCAGAAAAAGCAAACTTAACCAAGTTTAATCTAAACAACTAATTTACAACTATTACTACTTTTTTTTTTCAAACATTTATTTATCTATACAAGAACTGGGGTACAGTCAGAGGCGCGGGAGGGTGAGAGAATTCACCATAGACAGAGAAGGGAGCAGAATAGGCAGATGGACCGAAGTACACTGCTGAGGGGAGCAACTGGCGTGACAGGAGAGGTCTGCTGCGCCACATGGGTTGCTCCCTGGCCAGCTGGGATCCAACCCATGCTGCAGAGGCTGCGGACAGCTTTGCAGCACAGTGCTCAACCCGCTGCACCACTGGGGAGGCCCTACAACTATTACTTCTATTCCCTTTCTGATTATCATACTTCTTATTCTACACATATAATTGGTTTGTCTCTACAAAAGCACATTTTTCAAGAAATTATTTCTGAGACTACCCCTTCAATAAATTAAAGCATGAATTAGAGCATATGCATAAAGAAGTTTCAAATCATCTAGGCAATCTGACCCATTTGTGAAAAAGAATAAATACCATGGTAGTTATCCACAGTTTTGCCATACACAGAGATGAATAACCAATAAATAACCATCTTTTAGTGAACATTTTTTTTAAAGATTAATTTATTTATGCATACAAGGGCTGGGGTACAGGCCAGAGGTGCGGGAAGTGAAAGGATTCACCAGAGAATGGGGAGCAGAACAGGTGGATCTATTGAAATACACTAGTGAGGGAAATAGGGTGAGATAGGAGAGGTCTGCTGCACCATGTGGGTAGCTCGCTGTTTAGGGATCGAACTTGTGCTGCAGTGGCTGGAGATAGCCTCATAGTGCTGTCTCTTAACCTCACAGTTCTGTGCGCCACCAGGGAGGACCCCAAGCATTTTTAAAAATAAGATTTATTTTTAATTTATTTATGCATACAAGAATGGAGGCATAGGCTGGAGGTGAGAGAGGATTCCCCAGAGACAGAGCTGGGAGCAGAGTGGGTAGATCTAGTGAAATACACTGTTGAGGGGAGCAGTGAGCGAGACAGGAGAGGTGGGTCACCATGTGGGTCACCTCTCCAGGGCAATCTAACTCATGCTGCAGTGGATAGGCTTGATAGAGCTGAGACTTAACCAACACCTTGTGCCACCAGGGAGGCCCTGAACAAGATTTTTTTAAGCTACCACTCTTCAATGTAGAGACAAAGGGCAGAATGTTAACATCTCACTACCACTCCTTCCACTCCTAGATGCACTATCTATAGCACTTTAGATTTCTACAACTAGAGTCAAAATGAAAGAGCCTCCACTTTTGTGAAATTTGATTATCTTCATGTTTAGACTCAGCACGATGCCACTACCAATAGTAACAACCTTTTATTCCTCAAAATTTTCAATCTAATTAAACTTTTGCTTTAACTTTCTGCTCTTTATTCACATGAGTCCTATGCATTGGGGGCATTTGTCAGAAAAAGACATTCAGAATGACATATACATACCAATGACACATACAGAAGAAAACATCATCTAAAGAATCATTTTCACCACTGATAATTTTAGTGAAGAAGTATTAAGGGATAAATGACAGAAAAGGGTCTCTCTCTGCTTCTACTTTGAAATCACAGCTTTCCTCCAATTCTTTTAATTATCCAATATTTAGGTCACAGACATCTAATTTACAGAATGAGCAAGGCTCATTCACTCCCCATATTTCAATTCTGTTAAGTTTTTCACAGTAGAATGGTTTTTAGAAAAAGTTGTAAACAAGCTCTTCTCCCAATGATTTTAATAGGGACCACTAACAAACCTCTGCTTATGATCTATAGTATATTTGTGATCTGTTGATAAAGAAATAATACCACAGCATAGTTATAGCTAGAGACCAAATTTTTCTTTGTTTACTGTATTCTGTGCTTACGCAGAGGTACATGTTTTCTGACTTTATGTGCAAAGAAAAAATTCAACCTCCAAATGTTACAACCTTGATTAAAATCACAGGTGAAATTAACTGGCAATTTTGATATATACAAGATAAGTATTAATCAAAATTATGCTATACCTATACAAATGGATTGTTCAAAACTATCAAATAATTATTTTATTAAAAGTACAGGCTCAGCTTGTATAACTTCTGTTTACCTCTATTAACAAAAACTAACATAAGCACACAGGAAACTGACATGTCTTATCTCATCGAGGGAGATCTCAACAGTAACAAATAAAAAAAGCAAAGAATTATAGTGAGTAGGGAAAAACAGTAAGAATACAAGTACTAAAATAAGCAGGGGAAAAAAAGAATGAAAGGCAGTATAAAGTTAAAGGTATAAATTCTGGAGGCAGATTACTTAGGTTTATATTCCAATATCTTCTTTGTATCTCAGTTCCTGTAACTATAAAAGAGGTTTCCAGGGTTAAACCATAGAGATTTTGAGCAAATTACATGCATATAACTTTTTTAAAAGCAGTGTCAATGAGAAAATAACTCAATAAATACTTTATTTCTTAGGCACAGATTAAATTAGGCACTCTTCATAGCAAATTTATAAAAGATTCCAGTGGCTCTGTGATACCAAAATCATATACAATTGGGCCTCCCTGGTGACTCAGCAGGTGCGCACAGCACTGTGAAGCTGTCCACAGCCTCTGCAGAATGGGTTCAACTGCCAGCCAGCCAGGGAGATACCCACATGTGCGACAGACCTCTCCTGTCTCGCCCACTGCTCCCCTCAGCAGTGTTCTTGATCCATCTGCCTATACTGCTCCCTGCTGTGTCTCTGGTGAATCCTCTCACCCTCCCACGTCTCTGGCCTATACCCCAGCTCTTGTATAAATAAATAAATCTTTAAAAAATAAAACAAAAACAAAATCATATATATTAGCTGCATCTTTTAGTAGTTAAGGGGGACAAAATTTATTTTTATTAATTTTTGCTCTTACAACTAATAAATTTATGGCCCATGTGCCCCCATCAGCCTAAATGTTAGTATTCTCTTTTTATATAATCAGCTGCAAAATATTTGAGTCTTTCAGCCTATACCATCACCAGATTATCAGTTTTTAAGCATGCATTACACAGACCTATATGTAGATTAAGAAAAAATTAAATATAATTACTTCTTTGTCAAATTGTGTATAATATTTACACCTTGTCTTATACAAGCTCATCCACCCACATTTCAATTTTAGCAAAAATACCTGATACTTGGTAATATAAACTATTAGCATTACAATTATTGCAACCTAATCAAATGTACATTTAAAGTAAACATAAAGTAAGAGCTGGAAGGATATTTGTTATTTACAATTAATTGGTAAAACAGTATTTCCCAAAAGTGCAAGACCATTAGGTTTTGAGATTAACCAATAAGAAGTAAGTATAGGCATGAAAGGGAGAGAAGAAGGGAGAGATGGCTCCAATGGACTGGGAAGAGTAAAAGGAAAGACTGGTTTATATAAATGTTTACTCATTCACTTAAGAATAGTTTGAGCCTGGGCCTCCCTGGTGGCAAGAGGGTTTAAACCACCACACTATTAAGCAATCCACAGCTTCTACAGCACAAGTTCAATCCCAGGCCAGCCGGGGAGCAACCCACATGGCAAGGCAGACCTCTCCTGTCTCACCCTCTGCTCCCCTCAGCACTGTTATTTCATCCAGCCAGACTGTTCTGTTTCCCTCTCTGTCTCTGGTGAATCCTCTCTCCCCCCACATCTCTGGCATGTACCCCAGCTCTTGTATGCATAAATAATAAATAAATATTAAAAAAGAAAGAATAGTTTGAGTCTATTCACTTTCATTCTAAATTTTAAAGCATAAACATAAAACAGGGAGTAAAGGGAAGAAGGAGTCTTGTTATCTTTATATATTCTTACGGGTGCAATGGACCTTTGGCTTAGAAATACTCAAAAATGAATCTTGAAAAAAATAAGAAGAAACTCTTTATTCCAAAAAAGGTAAAATATAGTATGTGGGCTACAACAAATGCTAGCTATAACAACCAGTTTCATTTCAAATCTGAATTGATGTATAAATTTGAAACTGTTTAGGACTAATCAATTTTTGCTGAACTGTGAATAAAATCTATCAATATATTAATTTGGACATGTGTGTAAACTATTGTTTATTTTATTCATAGATGTTAAATTTTTGTCACATACATAAAAATAAGAATAATCCTACAATTTCTACAAGGCAATAAGTTGTGAAATATATTTTCCAGTACTACTTTGAAATTATACCCTGAGGTTAAATGAACTTTCAACTTCTTCCAAATGTACTGTTTAACTGAGATTTTTCAGTCATCATCTACTGTTGGCTTGATGGTCACGCCTCTTCTGATCTGACCCCAACCAATTAAACTGCAAAATGAAAATAAAATATGAATTTAAGTCTATTTCATTAGCATTATAATAAATCTTGACAAACGTTTTTCTATCTCTGTATTCTATATTAAAATATTCCATGATATGTTCTTTTATAATGATAAATATATATTATCTTGTAGATATTCCTAGTCTTTATCATGTGTCTTCAATAGCATGGATATAAGAAAAACAAAGAAGTTATTGCCATAGTCACCTTTCTCTAAAAAAATTATACCTATTCATTCAGAATCATAAAATAAAAATACTTCCAATTCCCCTGAAGAACCAGTCAACAGACACAACACAGCATTCTAAATAAAACATTCTTATTTTTCCTCAAAAAAATATCTTTTACAACATCTGACAATACCACAATGTTTTTAATGGGGAGATTTAAAATATAGTCTAAAAGATGATCACGGGCAGTAACGGCCAAGGCTTTTTGTTCTTTCAAATTCCCCTGCAGTCAATGACCAGACTACATTGTGACTTCATTTTTAACTTCTAAAGCAAAACACAGCAAGAAGGGGTTAAAAGTAGATTTAGCAAATGGCAGACTTGAAGTTTCTGGGTTTTGTTTGTAAACACCAAGTAAGTATCTTGACCAAAGTATTTTTGTTGGTCTACAGCAACCAAACAAGAAAAAGTTATACTCAAAACCCAAAGAAATTTTGTGGCTGAGAGAATGTCAATCATATCCTGTTCCTCCACAGGGAAGAGAGGGAAAGACTGAACTTATTTTCAAGAAGGATTCTCAGGGACTAGTTTTTGTTTAACCTCATATATGGAGAAAACACCCAAGCTGCTACCAAGTTAGAATGCTGAAAGCATTACTGTGGAAGTATGGTGCACAAAAGTTTCAGAAAGAATGTAGACTGTGAGTGCCTATGTCCAAGAGATTATGAGCAGATGAAATGAATAAAGAAGTCTCCAAGAAGCAAAAACAGTGAGAAACAAAGAAATATTTTAAGACATTTCAAGCAGCGTGTATATAGGAAGAACTAGGAAAAAGAAGAGAGAGATCCAGAAAAGGCTTATGAATGACAAGGCTGCATACCAAATTAATAAAGGTCTTACCTTGTCTGATGTAAATTCACAAAGATGGGAAAAGATTGATTTTTAGGAATAATCTTAAAGAAGCACAAGCCATGTATTTTTATTCTCAATATCTTAAAAACAAATGCCTTAAATATGTTCAAAGAGCTAATGGAGAAGACACAAAAGACCAAAACAGACAAATGAAAATGATTCATTTTATGAAAAACTAAAAATCCAGAGCTATACAAGGACAACTGAAACATTTACTTAGGTAGGCAAAACAGCACAGTGCAACAGAAACACTGAAATTACTATGTTTGAAGAGCAAATGAGAGAAGACTGACGAAAACTGATCATCAATTGAGGGGCAATACATGAAGAAATAATGATGGGAAATTTCCCCAAAAACTAATAAAAGAATTAGATAAATTCAAGAAGTTCTTAACGCTGTCTTTAAGAAAAATCTATGTAAAGTCAAAGACAGGGGCCTCCCCAGTGGCACAGCGGTTGAGTGCTGGGGTGTGAACACAGCCTCTGCGGCGCGGTTTGAAACCCGGCTGCTCCCCGGCCACCGGAGGAGGGTCCCACATGGCGTGCAGACCTCTCCTGCCGCCCGCTCTCCCCTCAGCAGTGTACTTCAGTCCTTCTGCCTGCTCTGCTCCCCACTTTGGCGCTTCTGACTGTACCCAGTGCATGTATAAACAAAATGAACAAACAAACAAATAAATAAATAAAACATGCCTCTATTTAAAAAAATAAATAAATAAATAAAGTCAAAGACAGAGAGACTTTTATGAAACTGCAAAAGAAAACACAGCATCAGTGTGTAAGGAGTTTCCACAAGATTATCAGTGGCTTTCTCAACAAAACCTGAGCAGTCCAAGAACAGTATATTTTCATAGTGTTGGAATAAAAAAAAAAATCCATTAACCAAGATCATGTCTGAAGCAACAACCATTCACAGAAATGAAGAAAATGATTTTTTTTCCATACAGCAGAAAGTAACACTGATGGAAATTCTGATACATGTTAAAACATGGATGAACCTCGGGGATGTATCATATTAAAAAACTACTAACAAGGGGACAGTTATTGTCTATGTCAACAGCAGCAAACAGAACGGTTGTTGTTAAAACTCTATGAAGGTGAGATTAGAGTCATTTTTAATTAGGTACAGAGATTCAGTTTTATAAGATAAAGTTTCCCAATATAAATGGGTAGTGACGTTTGCAAAAAATGTGAGTGTACTACATACAAATGAATATTACACCAAAATGGTTAACATAGCTAACTTTAGCTTTCATTTTCACAAAATTTTAAAAAGGAATATAAGGGGATGATTCAGCTGTTCAATTAGTTCTTCTAAGTAATGTATTTAAAAATTATCATGTGCCCTGAAATTTCATGTAGTTAGAATTCTTTTGTAATAAGTAAGAGGATAAAAGTTAATGGTTTTGTTTTCAAAATCTGTTTCAAAATAAAATGTCAATCTATTACGGTGAATGTCTTACAAAGTCTTTTGGAGTTTTTAAACAGTAGAAACCATGTTTATTTACAAGAGATAGAAAAATCAAGTGACTATAAACCAAATCAATATGAGTGACTAAAGAGACATGCAATAAAGACACAGGTAGTGACAAAAGAAGAGAAAGCACAGGATGAGTTGAATTATTGTAGGCACAGTGAGGACAGAAAAGACCACAGGTTAGAGGGTTTACATGGAAGGAGAAAATGCTGAAATGATTGAAGCAGACTAGCATAAAATCCTTTAATATCAGGTTAATGTGAATTTACTAGAAACTAGTACAGATTAATGAGGAAAGCAGGGCAAAATATTTTGGTAAGAAGAAATTGACCATGGATTAAAGTACTGAAGAAGGAAAACCTAAGTCAGGTGGATTAAAGTACTGAAGAAGGAAAACAAGTCAGGTCTTTCATAACTTACCAACTTGTGTGATAATGATAATGGTAGGGGTTGTAACAATGAAATTGATGGGAATGTGATTAGCTCAAACCCTACAGAAATCTGTGAGGAGGTTCCTTAAAACACTGAAAAGTGAACTGCTATTGACCCAAGTAGTCAATCCGAAGAATCTACCCAAAGAGCACAAAACATTAACTTGAAAGGAAACCTGAACTCTTATGACTGTAGCAACCCTACTAACAATAGCCAGAATATGGAAATAACTTGAATGTTACAGAACAGATGACTGGAACAAGAAGATGTGGTCTATAACACAATGGACTACGGCTTAGTGATCAAAAAAGATAAACTCTCAGTTGCCTCCATGAAACATTCTTTAGTTCTAAAATAAACATAGACTGGGGCTCCTTGGTGGTGCAAGGGATAAAGACAGAGCACTGTGAAGTTACCCACAGCCACTGCAGCACCAGTTCGATCCACAGCCAGGGAGCTACCCACATAGTGCAGCAGTCTTCTCCTGACTCGCCCTCTGCTCCCCTCAGCAGTGTATTTCAGTCTGCCTGATCTGCATTCCACTCTGTCTGATACCAGAAAACAAAGGCAAAACACTGCATGACACAAACCTCAGAAACACCTTTGAGGATTCTACTTCAGAAGCAGGGAAAACAAAGGAGAAGTTAAACAGCTGGGACTACATGGAACTAAAAAGTTGCTCACGTACAGCAAAAGAGACAATAGTCAAAAGACAGAAATCCTACTGAATAGGAGAAAATATTTGCCCAAAAAAATGGGCAAAAGGACTAAAAATAAACTTCTCTGAAAAAGAAATGCAAGTGGCCAACAGGCGTATGAAAATATGATCAACAACACTGGTTATCAGGGAAATATAATTTAAAACCACAATGAGATACCAGGTCCCTCCAGTAAGGATGGCCCACATTAAAAAAACAGAATTAACAAATGCAGGAGATCAAGGAATGTTCTTACTCTTCTGGTGGGAATGGTAAACTGGTCCAGTCATTATGGAAAGGTGTACAGAGGTTCCTCAGAATACTAAGAATGGATCTACCTTATGAACCTGGAAATTTCATTCACAGAAATCTACCCAAAGGACACAAAAACTCCAATTTGAAAGGAAAGCAGGTTGGAGCCTCCCTGGTGGCACAAGGGGTTGAGACGCCACCTATGAAGCTATCTGCAGCCATTACAGTACAAGTTCGATCCCTAACCAGGAAGCTGACCCACATGACGCAGCAGACCTCTTCTGACTGGCCCACTGCTCTCCTCATCAGTGTGTTTCAGTCGATTTGCCTGTTCTGCTCCTCATTCTGTCTCTGATAAATCCTCTCACCTCCCACACCTCTGGCCTGTACCCCAGTTCTTTTTTTTAAAGATTTATTTATTTATTTATACAAGCACTAGGTACAGTCAGAAGCGCGGGAGGGTGAGAGAATTCACCAGAGCCGGGGGGGAACAGAACAGGCAGACCGATGAAGTACATTGCTGAAGGGAGCAGCGGGCGCGGCAGGAGAGGTCTGTTGCGCCATGTGGGACCCTTGCCGGTGGCTGGGGATCGAACTGGCGTTGCAGAAGCTGCGGGCAGTTTTGCAGCCCAGCAGCGCTCAATCGCTGTGCCACCAGGGAAGGCACTGTACCCCAGTTTTTGTATGCATAAATAAATCTTTAGGAAAAAAAAAAAGGAAAAGTAGGCTTCCCTGATGGTGTAAGGGGTTAAAGACAGCCCTGTCAAATTATCACCAGCTACTGTAGCATGAGTTCCATCCTAGGTGGCCAAGGAGCTGGACCCACGTGGCGCAGCAGACCTCACCTGTCTCACCCAACGTTCCCCTCAGCAGTGTATTTCAGGAGATCTGCCTGTTCTGCTCCCCAATCTTACTGGTGAATCCCCTCACCCCACCGCTCCTCTGGCTCATATCCCAGGTCCTATATGCATAAATAATTTTTTTAAAGGAAATCTGCCCCCCTATGTTTTCTGCAGCACTATTTACAACCCCAATGCCCCCAAATAAATGAATGGGTAAACAAGACGTGGTATAACTACACAATGGAATATTATTCAGTGATCAAAAAAGACAAACTCATGTCATTTGTGGCAACATGGATGGAGAAGGAAGGGATGATGCTAGCTGAAGTAAGTCAGAAGGATGAATACCAGATGGTCTCACTTATATGCGGAGTACAGAGAAACTAAACAAAAGGTCAAGAAAAGGTCAAAAGTAGCAAGCTGACTACAGAACAGAGACATACAGCAAAGGTGGGGACAGGAGGGCGACAAAACGGGTTACATGAACACAAAGGAAAATGGAGATGGTTCATGTGTGACATGGTGGTGGAACTATGAGGACTACAAAAACATAAGAAAATAATTCTATCATTTTATTAGAAAATAATTTTTAATTATTTATTTTTTAATTAACTGATAAAGACTAATTTAAAATAAAAATGTAATACCTCCCTGGTAATGGTCTCAGCATCATCCATGTATCGGCAGCCACTGCAGCATGAATTAGAGCCTCAGGCAGGGAGCTGACCCATATGGCACAGCAGATCTCTCCTGTCTTGCCTGCTGTGCCCCTCAGCGGTGGATTTCAGTGAATCCACCTTTTCTATTCCCCACTCTGTCTCTGGTGAATCCTCTCACCTCCACACCTCTGACCTACACCCCAGCTCTTGTATGCATTAGTAAATAAAATAAATCTGGGCCTTCCTGGTGGTACAAGGGGTTAAGTATATATCACTGTTAAGCATATAGCTGCTATCAGCAGCCTCTGCAGCATGAGTTCAATCCCTTGGCCAGCCAGGGATCTACCCACATGGCACAGCAGACCTCTCCTGACTTGCCTGCTGTTCCCCTCAGCAGTATATTTCAGTTAGTCTGCCTGTTCTGCTCCCCACTCTGTCTTTGGTGAATCCTCTCAGTCCCCACACCTCTGGCCTGTACAGCAGTTCTTGTTTGCTTAAATAATCTTTTTTTTTTTTTTAAAAAAGAGATGTATTACTTAAAGTGAAAAAAAAAAAAAAAGGATAAACTCATATCATTTGTGGCATATGGATGGAGTTGGAAGGGATGATATTAAGTGAAACAACCTGAAAGGGGAAAAATTAAATACCATGCAGTGTTACTTATATGTGGACTATAAAGAATCTGAACAGGGCCTCCCTGGTGGTGCAGGCCAGGGAGCTACCCACATGGTATAGCAGACCTCTCCTGTCTCCCTGCTTCTCCCCTCAGCAGTGCATTTCAGTCAGTCTGCCTGTTATGTTCCCCACTCTGTCTCTGGTGAATCTTCTCACCCACCCGCACAACTGATTCTTGTATGTATGAATAAATAAATCTTCAAAAAAAAAAAACAAAAAACCTGAACAAAATCACACAAAGGCAAACCTGAAAAGCTGATCATAGATCTGAAGTATCCAGGAGGGAAGGACAGGAGAGGAAAGAACATAGTAGGCTATGACTGAGGCTGCCAGGGGTGGTGTGGTAGGGTGGGAGCAAAGGGGAAAGGGGTCTAGTCAGTATTGCTGAGGCTTGGGTTGTGGGTGTGGAGAAATACATGCAATTGTAGGGGTATAAACCCCTATACCTCTAAGACATGTACTATGATGTAAATCAACATTTCCTCATTATAACAGCAGCAAAAAAAAACCCAGTCAAACAGAATGGAAAACAGACACTTAGTAACTAAATTGGGAGAGGGCAAAAAGGACTGCTAGTAGTCAAGAATGTATGTGAGTATGTGTTTCCTAGTTCTACTAACTGGGGAGCAATGAGAATATCCAGATTTTGGTTTCGAATCATGGAGATATTAATGGCTGAATTCAGGAATGGGGCAGATGGTATACAAGATGATCGTGTACTTTCTGCAATAGAAATTAAAGAAGTGCTTAAAAAAACAACGGGGACATTTTAAAAGAATACAGAAAAAAAACTTGAAGAGAATCCTATTTGTCAGCATAGAGCATAAGCATCAAAATAAAAACAAATCACTGAGTAAAGCAGACCTCTTTGAGTCCACACTACAGTATCTAAATAAGTAAGTGAACATTAAAGAGGAATATTAGATAATATATGTACGAAGTGGCAGGATTAGAAATACTTTTCTGTTATACCCAGAGTATGCATCAAGAATAATCAAGTGGCAAAGGAGGCAGTTTGTCGAGAAGCAGATGTGCTGAATATCGAGGAATTATCTGGGGGCTTTCTACTAATTTCTTACTAATTGTAACCACAGAAGGTGAAACTTTACAACAGAGAAATCAGGTGTCTTAATGACATGGACAAAAATAATCTCACCAGTTAGGTACAGCCTATTACTGTGAGCCACTTAATGTGATTCTTGAAAGACACACCATTATCTATACAACATCGTGGTGCACAATATATAACTTCAATTTAAGAAGAGAAAAACACCAGATAAATTAAAATTGAGCAATATCTATAAAGTAACTCTATTGTATTTTTAAAATACCAAGTCATATTTAAGAAAAGGAAGTTTAGGAAGGTTCCACATTAAAGATAATAAGAAAGATACAGTGTGATTCTGAGTAAGAAGCAAGGAAAATGTTCTAAAAGACAATACTGTGAAAAGTGACAAAATTTAAATATAATGTGCGGTTTAATAATTTTATTAATATTAAAACTCCTAATGTAGTTTTAAAAGACAAAATCTTTATTGTTAGGAAATAGATATTAAATATTAAGACTAATGTGCAACCTACTCAGCGCTTCAGAAAAATTCTATATATATATATATATATATATATATGCTCTACAACAACTAAGTATTGATCCTGAATTGTCTGCGTTTACATAGATTGTATTTAAGTTTGCAGAAGAGACTGTTATACCAGTTGGGAATGTATGTAGTATTACAATAAGGGTCAACCCAATATAGGGCTGAGAGATTTAAATCCATAAGAACTAGTGAATTTAAGGAAATTGTGTGTATGTCAATGATGAAGTAAATACAGCACAAGAAAATAATACCCCTCTTCTTGATTAGATAATGGTAAATCTGACAAGCTTACCGCCAATGCTTCTCAACTCTTCGGCTAAGAGCAATTTTTTCTCCCACTTCTGTGCACACAGGATTAGTGAGAACTATTTTACCCAAATCAGCCTTGACTGCACTAACTCTTCCTCCTGTTGAGAGGGATCCTATATTCACCATAAGCACTTCATTCTTAGACAGCTTTTGCACCTATGAAATAGATAAAGAAAAAGCAGAAAGTTAAATTAAGAAAATGCTTTTCAAAATAAAGTCAGAATTACAAAATACTGCTGGAATATGTAAAATGAAAATGAAATTTTGCACAAATGACAACACAGTGCTCTTTGAATGATATTCAATTCTATTAATCTAATTATCTATCTCATCTATCTAACTTGTCTGTTCATCCATGCACCCATGAACTTACTCACCCCTCCATGCTGTTACGATAAAAAGGAAAGATCTATTTAGTACTCAGTGAATTTATGCAAGGTCCAACTCTAAAACACGTTATGAAGTATATTAATATTAACTACATATAGTAAGCAATATAAGACAATCAAGGAAAATCTTAAAATTCAGAAAAGGATGACAAAATTTCCTAAAAGGGACAAAACAAGTTAACCGGTGCTGGACCTCTAATTCCATTCCATATGAAAACTAGGTATTTCTGGTCTCTATAAACTGGTAACACCTACTTCATACTTATTAACTGCTATGCTACTTACTGAGTTCAATCCCTAGCAATTGTCTACACTTAGACTCTAATGCGCAAGTTCAGATTAATACTTTAAGGATTTTGTTTCCTTAAAAGTAAGACTTCAAAAAATAAAAATTAAAGAAAATCACTCACCACTCCCCCAAAGGATGAATATAAGGTTTAAAAGCAAATCAGTGCCAGCAAATGAATTTTTCTTCAATGTTTTTTCGTGAACATTAATTTTTTCTAATATGAAAAGATCTTTATAAGTTTACAAACAAATTTCTGAGTATTCAAACAGCAATGTAAGCTTATATCAAAGCAAAAATGGAAAATTTTAAGAACCATATCAATTACTAATATGTAAAAACAGAAAAAAATAATTCAACAGAAATAATGGTGCAGGGGAAAGACTTTAAAACGTCCAATTAAAATTCCACTGTTTATAGCAGTGTAATATAAAATACACTGCTGTTTTTGCAAATTGTTTCTCTACATTTATTTATATTCAAATACTTTAATGTCATATGTAAAATGTAAATACCTCATTTTTCTTTAAAAAATGCATTTACAATATTGTTTTTAAATAAGGAACAACTTGCTGAGACAAGTTTGCAAAAAAATTTTAATAATTATAACTCAACTGATCTAAAAAAAGATATTAAAATACACTCTTTTTGAAAAAGCCTAAGTTTTTACTACTTGCATTTGCTAACCAATTGTAAGCCTTTTTAAAGAAGTCATGTGTAGGGGCCTCCCTGGTGGTGCAAGGGGTAAAGTCGCTGCATTATGAAGCTATCTGCAACCCCTACAGCAAAGCATGAGTTTCATGTCCTCTGGCCAGGGAGGTACCCAACTGTTGCAGCAGACCTCTTCTGTCACGCCTGCTGCTCCCTTCAACAGTGTATTTCAGTCAGCCTGCCAGTTCTGTTCCCCACTCTGTCTCTGGTGAATCCTCTCAACCCTGCACCTTTAGTTTGTAATCCAGCCCTTGTATGTATAAATAAATAAACCATAAACCTTTAAAAAAATAAAATACATGGGTATACTAGCAATAATACAGTGTGTAACACATTTTTCCATCTTTTTTTTTAAATTGGCAGTTTATGATTGATTGTCGTATTGGGAATTTCAATTTAATTATGCTTTCTTCTCTGTAATTCCACATTAACTATAAAAGAATCAAAACTCGTTAAAATACATAGCTTTGTTTTCTTGAGTTAAAAGCAGCATTTACCTTTGCTGCCTTCTTATCTCCTTCCGTGCGTATACCAAGAAGTCGTCTAAGTAAGAAATAGGAAATTTCCAACTCTGTGAAAATCTCAGGTAAAGCACCAACTGCACCAAGCACCTGCCCCACCATTCGGTCAGCCCGGCATAAAGTGGGGTCAATTTTTGTTCCAACTCCTAATAAAAAATCAAATTTACATTCTAACTTTATGCCTTTCAGGATAAACTAAGTCAAAGCAGTATACCATATGTATCTTTAAGTCTCAAAAAGATATTTTTCTCATACCATAAGTAGCTACATGATCAAAATTCAATACAAATCCCATATAAGATAAATGCTTTAAGAAATAAATGAAGGGCTTCGTTGGTGGCCTAAGGGTTAAGACTCAGTGCTACCACTTCGGCGGCCTGAGTTCAATCCCTAGCAAGGGAGCTAGCCCACATAATGCGCAGCAGATCTCTTCTGTCTTTACTGCTGCTTCCCTTAGCAGTGGATTTCAGTAAATTTTCCTGTTCTGCTCCCCATTCTGGTGAATTCTGTCACTATCCCTTACCCCTCATCTATGGCCTGCATTCCAGTTATTCCATGCAAAAATAAGTAAAATCTTTTAAAATAAATGGTCTCAAAGAAGAAATGAAACAGAAATTGAAAGTCCAAAAGATTAATGAAACCAAAGCTTGTTCTTTGAAAATATAAATAGGATAGACAAACTTCCAGTTAGACATACCAAAAAAAAGGGGTAGAAAACACATAAATATGATCATAAGAGAAAGAGGAGAAATTACAACAAAGGAGAAATCCAGAAGATACTTAGAGATTACTATAAATATTTACATATAAACAAGTTCAACAACTTTATGAGATGAATAAATTCTTAGATTAATACAATAATCAAGGGCGAATAAGAAATAGAAAACATGACCAAACCAATTACAATCAATGAAATTCAAACAGTAATAAAATCTCTTCCAAAAAACAAAAGCCCAGTATCAGAAAGTTTCATAAGTGAGCGTGAGTTTCAGCAAATGTTCAAAGATAAATTGATATTTATCCCTGCTCAAAGTCTTTCAAACAATTAAGATAGAAGAAATACTTTCAGGTAAAATCATCAACATGGTAGTGAAGGGACAGTGGGATCAAATTTTCCCATAAAAACATCTGAGAGAAATAACAGCAAGGTCCTGGCAGGACCCGGACATGAGATAGACAATCTAGGCAGCACCTGTGATTCCCTCAGACTGCCAAGGAAATTTGGAAAGATGAGAAGGGAAAAGAGAAAATCATTGGAATCCATCCCCGCTCCCTTACCCACAAAGCCAGCCAACTACATCTAGAAGTAAGAGAGGAAAAGCTTGAGATATCTGAAGGGCCTGGACAATGAAAAGCAGGGCCTCCCCACAGACAAACAACACTGGTAGTGAGCCCCTTTTTGTGGACCTAGAGGGACCTAGTAGTTCAATAGAGAAATACATCCCACCCAGACTGCAGGCACCTCCCAGTGCACTTGGCCTCAGCATGTGTCCGGAGGAGCAATACTCTGCATGAGAGACTCAACTACCACGGACTGAGACATCCGTTCCCATCCAATGTGGTGGAGGCTGGAAAAACAAGGACTCCTGGTTAAAAGCACAGCTCAGAACAACACCTACTATAACAGAAAAGTATCCAGACATGTATCCAGCTATGGCAGCTCAGACAGTAGACAGATACATCCATGCCTGAGCAAGAGAAATCATAAGTCATGCCTACCAGCACCACAGGCACAGGGACACTGAACAAAACAAAGCAGAAGGCAAACAAAGGAAATAAAGAAAACTATAAATGTTCAAGCAAACCCATCTACGAACAATACACCAAAGAAAGAAAATTAACCTCCAAAACCCAATTACCATGGGCACAGAAGAGTATCTCCACCCAATATACGAAAGAATTCAAAAAGGCCATAATGAAAACAGAGTTAAGAGAAAGTGCAGAAAGAGGTTAAGAATATGATCAAGGCACTGAAGGAAAAAGTGAAAAACTGGATGATATCCAGAGATGAGCAGAGAAACTCAAGAATTTGGGGAAAAACCATGAAAACAGAATGGAAGAAATGGAGGACTGAATCAGTGCTCTCGAAGATACAGACATTAAAAAGAACCAAACAAGAAAAGTAAATAGAAGCACAAATAAAAAAGAATGAAGAAACACTTCACAAAAAAATCTGACACCAGGAGGAAAGAAACTGTAAGTCACAAGAATCCCAAAAGGTGAGGAGAGAGACAAAGGAACGGAGAGACTATTCAATGTGATCACCGAAGTGAACTTCCTAAGCATGAAAATGGAAATGAAAATAGACATACGGGAAGCTGGAAGAACACTAAATGACCACAATGAAAGGGAAACTACAGTAAGACACATTATAGTAAAGTTACCAAAGGTCCAAGACAGAAAAAAATAATGAAAATAGGCTGACATCAAACTTCTCTAAAGATACACTATGGACAAGAAGAGAATGGAGGTGCATAATTAACAAACTCCAACTCAACAAATTCCAATCAAGAATACTCTAACCCAGAAAGCTCTTCCTCCTCTATGAACGAAAAATAAAAACATCAGATAAACAAAATCTCCACAAATTAATTACTCTTAACCCCCCCACTCCAAAATGTAAGAAACCCTAAAGCCAAAACCAACAAAGAAATGAACATGAAGAACAGAATAAGGTAAGGAATAGAATCATAAAAAGGCAAACAACGGCCAATACAGATGCTAGTGTATCAATATTAACTCTATGTAAATGTACGAAACTCACCAATAAAAGACACAGAAAAGCAGGATGGATTAAAAAACAAAACCCAACCTTTTGCTGTCTGCAGGAATCACATTAAACTGCAAAATATAAATATAGATCCAAAATAAAAGGTTGAAAAACAATTATACAAGCAAATGGACCAAAAAAGAAGGCAGGGACAGCTATATTTATATTAGATAAAACAGACTTCAAACTAAAAAAAGTAAAGAGACAGGTCCTCCCCAGGTGGCGCAGCAGTTGAGCGCTGGGCTAAGAAGCTGCCTGCAGCCTCTGCAGTGCAGGTTCGATCCCTGGCTGCCAGCGAGGGTCCCACATGGTGCACAGACCTCTCCTGCTGCGCCCGCTGCTCCCCTCAGCAGTGTATTTCATCAGTCTGCCTGTTCTGTTCCCTGCTCTGGCTCTGGTGAATTCTCTCATCCTCCTGCGCTCTGACTGTACCCAGTGCTTGTATAAATAAATAAATAAATCTTAAAAAAAAAAAAAGTAAAGAGACATAGATGGTCACTATGTTGTGATTACGGGGACACTACATCAGGAAGACAATGCTCATCAACATATACTCACCAAATGAAGAACACCAAAATATAACAGACAATTATCATATCTGAAAACATACATTAGAAAAAATACAAATGCAGTAGAAGACTTCAACACATCACTCTCATTAGTGGACAGATCAATGAGACAAACAATAAATGAGGACACTAGAGCTCTAAATAAGGATATCAACCTCATGGGCTTAAACACAGCTATGGGACACTGCACCCAAAAAAATCTAAGTACCGGGGGCCTCCCTGGTGGCGCAAGGGGTTAAGCACCACACTCTGAAGCAATCCGCAGCCTCTGCAGCACGAGTTTGATCCCTGGCCGGCCAGGGAGAAACCACATGGCGCAGCAGACCTCTACTGTCTCCCCACTGCTCCCCTCAGCAATGTATTTCAGTCAGTCTGCTGTTCTGTTCCCACTCTGTGTCTGGTGAATCCTCTCACTCCATGCATCTCTGGCCTAAACCCCAGCTCTTGTGTGCATAAATAAATAAATCTTTAAAAAAAAAAATCTGAGTACCCATTTTTCTCAAGCACATATAGATCATTCTCCAGGATTGATCACATACTGGACACAAGGCAAACATCAACAGACACACTAAGATCAAAATCATACCAACTATCATCTCTGATCATAAAGGTGTCAAACTGAAAATAAATTATGAAAAGGCAGCAGGAAATCCTCTTCCCTCATGAAGATTGAAACCCGCACTACAGGAAGACCACTGAATCAATGAGGTGATCAAAGAAGAAACTAAAATAATACCTTCAAATGAATGGTAATGAAGACACAACTCTCCAGAATGTATGGGACACAGCAAAAGCAATTATAAGAGAAAATATAATCTTAAAATCATGGAAATGCAAATCAAAACCTCACATATACCACCTTACACCAGCGAGAATAACAGTAAAAAAACAGAAAACAACAAATGTTGCTGAGGATGTAGAGAAAAAGGAACTCTCCTATACTCCTGGTGGGAATGCAATCTGGTCCAACCTCTATGGAAAGCTGTGTGTACTAAAAATGGAGCTTCTGTACGACCCAGCAAATCCACCCCTAGGGATGTACCCAAAGGACACAAAATCATTAATTCAAAAGGACACCTGTACCACTATTTTAATTGTAGCACTATTTACAATAGGTAAGTTATGGAAACAATCCAAATGCCCCAAAATAGATGACTGGAGCAGAAGATGTGGCAAATATTCAGCAATCAAAAAACATAAACTCATAGGCTTTGTAGCAAAATGGATGTACCTGGATGGGATTATGCTTGGTGAAATAAGCCAGAAGGAAAAAGAATAATATCAGAATGTTTCACTTACAGGTGAAGGTAGGGGAACGAAATAAGGTACCAGAAAAAAAAATAATTATAAATTAAAAAAAAATTGACAAGCAACTATTATTAGAGGCAGTCTGCATGGGAGGGTAAGGGAGAGGGAGAGGGATTCAAAGGGGGGAGGGAATGTGTTCTTACTTTGGTGATGGTACATGAGTGAATTGGTGATGGAAATTTGGAGGGACTACACCTGAGAGGAGAAAGCATGCACTGTACAAAAAAGAAGAATGATGTAGAGTATATACAAAATTAAATAAAATTTAAAAAGAGTACTTTCAAATATATTTTATCATGCCAACAATACACATTACCAAAACCATCAACAATACAACAAAAGAAGAAATCTACAAGCATATCACCCTTATAAATACAGATGCTAAAATCCGCAACAAAATCTTAGCAAACTGAATCCAATGTGCATCAAAAGCATTATACACCACACCCAAGACACAAGATGATTCAACATCTGAAAATCAATTCATGTAATACACCAC